CTCGGTACGGCACTGGAAGTGCTTGAAGTGGTGGAAGTGGATGTACTCGAGGACGACGCCATCTTTGATCTGAGGCCTGAGGGGCCGAGCCGCCGTGCCATAAGCGTGGTGGCCTGAGTCTCAGTCTTATGCACATGGTGACCTCTGCCGCCTGCCGGACCATATTTGACCATGGGCCTTAGCACAGACCTCAATATTTTCCAAAAACAATACAAAAATAGAATACAAACTGAATTATTCTAGAGCTATGTTTTTTTTTTTTGTTTTCAACGCATAAAACCTCGGATTATGCCAGCAGTGCTAAACTGAAATAAAAGCTGAAAATAATGTTCCTTTTGCTGAATTATGCTTAAAATTATGCCAGAACAATCTACCAAAGCCTACCTGTGAGGGAGGAAAGTGGGTCGGGGGGGGGGTTTGCGCAGTGTCGAAACCATCTCTAGTGCCCGGGTTATTAGGAGCTCTTGTATTACATAATTATCTGCTCCCTTCACAAAGAAGCTACGGCTTTGGGAACCCTCCCCCCACACCCCCCCCCTGCCCTCACTATCCTCATTAAGAATGACGCTCTGCCCGGATGCACTAAGAATTATAATCATGTCAACAAAAACTTGGCAAAAAACTTAGGCAGATACTTTTAACGAGGCTGAAAGAGTACCTTCCAAATGATGTAAATACATTTAGAAACTTAGAAATTGTTAAGCCAACTCGGAATCTGTTTAACATCGCTATTCAACCAATGGAAATGAAACCTAAAACATTTTTATACACATTCCATGGTAGTTTTGTCAAGATTGTTGTCATACAAATTTGCATGTTCTACCCTTTGCTCTGACATGTCGACACATCAAGGGGCTGATATCGCCATTTATCGCTGTATAATTATGCGTCTCTCTGATTGGATAAAATTGGACCTTAGCATGTTAATGGTCATATAAAAAGGTGGTCATGGGATTGATTAACAAGGAAAAATTCGAGAGCGGTTAAGAAGGGGGAAAATCTACGAGGATTGCTTGTGACGAACAAAATCGGAAAGGTTGTAATAAGAACCATGACCTTACTCTCGAAATTTCCGGCTTTCTGGGAAAATAAAGGATTCGTGATTAACGAGAATGGAAAAGGTAGAAATAATGGTTTCCATTGGTTACTTGTATCAGGTAGAAAAGTGACATGGAAGCAGCTGTTTGTTTGCGGCCATCTCGTGACTCGTGACTTTTCCGTTCATGTGATTTTCTCAGAAAAAACTAGTCACAACGGGAGCGAGTAACATGGCTGATGTAGCGAGAATTCTGCTTCTTTCTGTGTCGATTTGGCTGGTACAAAGTGTTCGAGGTAAGTTTATGTAGGTAACAAGAACTCTAAAAAACTATGGTATTGTAGTGGGTACAGTTATTGATAAAAAATTCCTGAGAAATTTGTCAGATAAAACTAAGATGTTGATTATAATTTCAAATTACCAAAATCACAAGGTATAATTACACGCCCGTCTAACGCCGCCGGTAGAGACCCTTCAACACCGTTTATGGAAAAAAATTAGTAAAACCCCTGAAGATGGAGTCTGCGTAGAAAACTAAGTCTTCACCAAAGGTATCAATATTGTTTCGTTATCATATACTCAAGAAGTTCTAATAAGTAATAAAAATTGTGCGCAATCGTAAAATCTGTGACCTTTTTTTCCATTAGAAACATATATTAAAAAAAAACAATTTTTCCAGGTTTTCGTGACCAAGAGGAAAAAAATATTTGTTAGATTTTACCCAACGAGCGTTGAAATAATCCATCATTAGAAAAATTAAGCGTGACTGAGCTTGACAGCAAACATTATATATCAGATGACTGCAACGGAAAGAATTAAACGATTAGCCGTAAAATGGCTAAAATTTTAATCAAAAGCCGTGGAAGCCATCACCCCATTGAGACCCTCTTCGCCACCTTTTAATAACGTTTGGTCAGAGTGGATGTCTTTTAAGAGCAATATTATGAGAGATAAGAAAGATATGGCACCCAAAGCCGTGATAAACGCATTTGGTGCGACATATTATCTCGGGAAAGGTCATGCCCTCCTCCTTCCCAAGCACCATAAAAACCTGTGTAAAACGTACTTTTTGAGACTCACCAGGGTTTGTCCATCCCTTTTCTTCAACCTTTTACTCTCAAACTTGCCATCGGCCGCATTAGATTGCCGTATGTTCTTTCCAGTAGCCTCGTTGGATAAACATGTCACAAATTAAAATAAGAAAAATCTGTGAAAGGAAGTATTTTTTCACCTAGATCAAGGGTTCATTTTCTCTAATCTTTCAGGTGCGAATGACGTTGAAATCGTCGAGCCTCGACCAAAAAGCGTCTATGCTTTTGAGTTTGACTCAGCCAACGTAACATGTGTCGCTTTGAGTTCCTCTGGTACAAATGAGACTCTGAACATCAGGTTTATGAGAAGAGACGATTTTTTTGACCTTCATGAACTAAAAGAAGATAAGAATGTGTTCTTCAAGAGCCAAATTCAACAAGAAGGTGGGTAAGGTGACAGTTTTCTTGTTTCATAGTCAAGAATCTGTGTCCCCTTCTGATGGACGACGCGATGAACTTAATGTTAGTCCGCTGGACTCTGAAATAATGGAGGTTAGAGTCTTTTCTGTGTAATCATATCTATGACAAACTGATTACGCGCGCCTGATTGGCTGAAAACGAGGGCATTTCAACGGTAAGTTTCGCCAAAAATTTACGCGCGTCTTAGTGGCTGAAAACGAGTGCATTTCATATGCAATGAAAACGAAAAACTTACGCGCGTCTGATTGCCTGAAAACGAGTGTATTTTACATGTAAAACGGGTGCAAAATTGAAACACGAGTGCAAATTACAGATATATAGCACGCACGCGCTGTCAAAATTTCGTCTGTCTTAACGATCTTTTAAATGTTTCAAAGACTACGAATTGCACTCGCTCTACGAGCTCGTGCGATTTTGCTGTCTTTGACTTTGCTGTCTCGCGCTTATAAACACCAAACTGCACTCGAAATCGTGTCATTACCTATACTTATTGGTTACCTGGGCAAAATACCTTAATAGCTTTATTTTTCCCCAATCCTCACCCCACTTCTCATGAACTTCTTCCGGGAGTGTATATTGGTTCCGCCGGGCTAATAGCTCATGCGATGGGTGAGTGGAAAAAATGCTTGCTGCTTGATGCTACGGAAAGCAGAATATCGAACAAGCCCTAGCAATGGAGTAACTTGTCAAATATTGCATTAATTTCGAAAAAACCGGAAGAAAAGATGGCGGGGCAGCGGGGTCGCTCTTTCCGGGCGGGAAGACAACGAAATGTTGGCGGGGAGGAGGATGAAACATTTTTTCTTATGGGTTGGGAAAAGAAAAATTGTTAATGATATGCGGTTTAAGGCCCTGTCTCATAAAATGAAAGAAAAACTGTGGCAAATTTTGACGTTTTGAATATTTTGTTTGCAGGTGAAAACAAAAAGCTTTTTCGCACCATGGTGATCAAAAATTTAACACGAAAATACGACAGTTCGTACGGTAACCAAGGAGGTTACGAGTGCCATGCGTTTGCAGGAAACAGATCAGTCGATCAGTTTGCCTTCAATGTCTACGCAATCGAAAGTATGTGTTGTGCGCCTGCAATATCATTGTACAACTTAGAAAATTCATTCATTGATGTCATTCTGCTGTCTATCACCGTGGGAGAGATCTATTAACCGTTTTTTTTTTACATTTCGTTTCCATAAATTCATTGCCCCTTTAGATATTTTTAGCCTGCAAATTCGAGGGTGGGGAGAGCAGGAAACTTGATTACGCCCAAATCAACTACTCCTTCTTGCTTCCCTCAAGCGAACAGTTCATGATCTGTTGCTTCCCCTGAATGTTAGTTTCACGCACCAGTCGAAGGAAATTGCTGACATGTCTTCCAATGGTAAGATATTCCAAATAAGGAGTCAACTGTTATTGCGTTCCTAGAGAGCGAAGTTCCTAAAGTCACGGTCACACCGCACGTGCAAGTCCTGAAGAACGATGAGGACCTCACGCTCTTTTGTAACTTAACCAATAGAGGAAGCGATGGAACCGACCTGGAAAACATGTTTTGGTTTAAAGATGGTGTGTTGTTAAACAGTATTCCGATCGGAGAGTCAGAAAAAGTTACTCTTGAGCTCTCACTAAAGATTGGAAGTGTGGGTGTTAAAGATGGAGGAATTTACTCGTGTCTTCTGGGAGTAAAATTGAGAAGAGTTCTGGAACACAATGTGTCGGATGACGCTTTGATTCGCAGTAAGTGTTTTCTAATGTCACAAGCTTAATAAGGTAGACTTCTCGGATCCTTCATGGTGACTTAACTGAAATTCTCAATTATTAATTGATCGCTTTTGTAATACAATTTTACGTTTGTTTCTTCGCCTCCCGGTTAGCTCAATTGGTTAGAGCGCCGGATTGTGTTGTGCGGGAGGTCGACGGTTCGAGCCCCGGCTGGACCAATACTCATGGTCTTAATTAAAATAACTTAGGAGAATTTGTGAAGGTGTAGTCTGATCGTCCGGGTGAGTGTTGTCCAGGACTATTGTCGGTGGTGGTGACTGACGTTTCGACAACCTGTGCGGAAGTCATCATCAGAGTCAAGTGAATGATTGTTGTCAGTAGAATGTTCTTATTCCAGTTNGGGATAGGTGGGTGTTATGCAACGTAAGAATGGATTTGTTGATATATCTATCTATCTCTACATACATATGTATTTATACTTAAATAGAATAAATGTTTGAAAGAAAATTTGCCATGAGCGGGATTTGAACCCACGTCCCCCTGTTACTAGTCAGGTGTGATGACCACTACACTATCAGGACAACCATGCTGGCAACATGGCAATCGAAGATGTGATTTACGTGATCGGAGACGTGGTCTCCCGGGAAACTTAATTTTCAAGGTGACCGGGTAGGGGAAGCCTATAACCCCATCTGAAACCCAACTAAGGATCTATTAAAGAAACACGACCGAAGTCAACTTAGCGGATGACAAAGGAGGATCCAATTACGGATAGGCTCGTGATTTGTAAGCCTCTCTGGTTTTTTCTCCACATCCCACGTGGCTTTATCACGTTATAGAGCCCGGAAACGTGTTCTATTGCTTAAATCTGTTTACTGTTCACGTAATTATGGTTCAAATCTCTCAGAAATGAAATCTTATTTCTCAAATTTTCAGTTGCGACCTGGTTTCCAGGAAAGCATGCTAAGACAAATATGCACAATGTTGAGCAGAAGTCATTCAAAGGTGATAACATGTCTTTTGAGTGTGCAGCCAAAGGCTTTCCTCTAGAGATCGAATGGAAGCTGAAGAAGAAAAACGAGGACACCGTGCAAGCCTGTATAAGTAAGTCTTTTAATTTTAATTTCATCAGTTTTCTTGTTTTTCTTTCTGCGAGCATTGATCAAAGATCAAAACATGATTTTAAAGCTGAATGAAGTTGGAAGTCTGTCAAATTTTAATGCGAGAATCGAGAGAGAGGCTCCCAAGATGTCAAGAAGGGAAAACTTTTTAAAACTTTAACTGTAATTTAATTGGGGCATATTTAACCTCCGACAAATCTCTTTCAGTTATCAACCGTTACATTCAGTGATAAAAAAGGTTTTTAAATCTAAAATCAGTTTAATGAACCGCTTCTTTCTTTTTTTACCATCCTTCATCTTAATTCCCCACAATTTCTGATAACAGATTGTAAACATTTCATATTCTTTTGTTTCTGATCAGTTTTTCTTTTCGTTTTGAAGATTATGTGTTAACAATCAGAACTAGCCCTCATTTAGGCCTCCAGTATTTGAAGACATTATTTGTTTATCTCAGAGTAACTAATAGTTATAAAATCCGCCATAACTAACTATGATATATGTAACCTACGCATCCTTCTCCCTCTCCATTGTTTCGTACCCATGCCCTCCCCAGTTACATGAATAAAGACTGAAAGTTCTAAAGAAACTGTGGTGCTGCGTCGGTGGGGGTAATAAGGTAATTGGTTATATCAGCTAAGATGAAATTTTAAATTGGCCACCGTAACGAATAAAAAACCGAGCTGACGTTTCGAGTATTAGCCCTTCGTCAGAGCGAATGACCAAGGGCTACCGCTCGAAACGTCAGCTTTTTTATTCGTTACGGTGGCCAATTTACTATTTCAACTTAGTTGATATAACCAATTACCTCCACAGTTACGGTTACACGGTAGGATCTGGGATCAAAATTACCCTCTCTCTTGAATGAATGAATGAATGAATGAATGAATGAATGAATGAATGAATGAATGACTAGTTTATTAAACTCTCTGTCAGTAAAGGACCTGAATTATCGAGTGTATTTTACAATCTTAAGGCAACTATTCTCTAAAACTGAAAATTTACGACTATAACAATGATAATAACAACTGAATCATTTAAAAGATTTAAATGTAAAAAAGTCCTCCGTTCTCTTTGTCATACATATCTGAATGTTTCGGAAGAGAGAGTACTTTTGTGTTTTCTGCCTTAAGTTGTAATTAGGTGCGTGCAGGAGTGAGCTGGGGAGCAGATGGGTGCAGGAGTGGGCTGGGGAGCAGATGGATGCAGGAGTGGGCTGGGGAGCAGATGGGTGCAGGAGTGGACTGGGGAGCAGATGGGTGCAGGAGTGGGCTGGGGAGCAGATGGGTGCAGCGGGTGGCTGGGGGACTTCATTTTTGCCATGTATTTATAGCACAGGTCTACTCCTCTGTCATCTAGTCTATCTAATTTACCCGCGCTGTAAGGCATAAGCATATGACTCAGCCTTGGGGTAAATTATATTAAGCGCCCTTTTTTGGACTCGCTCTATGGATTCGGACAGATAGGCAGGAATATCCTGCCAGACAGGTACAGCATACTCTAAAACTGGCCGGACGGTGCTAATATATCTTCAGGATGTTAGATTGACACACCCTGGCTCTGTGCAGTACTCTAAGGGAGTATAACCTCTTACAAGCTTTCTTAATAATGTAATCAACATGACAGTTCCACTTCAGGTCACTGTCTATAATAACTCCTAAGATCTTATAGGTACTGTCACACTGGATGGCGTTGTCGCCAATTAATATGGGGTTAATGAGACAATTAGAGTTGCGTAGAAAATTAATATGCATTTCTTTTCTTATGCATTCCTTTAATTATTCTCTTCAGATCCTGACGATCGCGCTGGTTAGATTCTTTAATTAATTGTCCACTTTCCCTCTTATTGAACACCGGCTACGCCAGCTGTGACAGATAATAATCTTAATTCCTTCTATTGCTATTGCCGCTATTCCAGGTAATCAGCTATCAAATGTCTCAACTGCCATCTCTTCCCCTAACTGCCAAAGTCAAACCCCGACTCTGAACCCACCCCCAC